CTCTGCCTTTGCAGCCGCGGCCTCCCGCGCCCCACCATGCGGGTCTCCCAAGGACTGGGCACCTCCTTGGCTCGCAACCAATGGCCGCATGTGCCAGAGCATGAGTTACTACTCTGCCATTTTATCATTTTTTAAAAATATATTTTATTGATTTTTTTGCAGAGAGGAAGGGAGAGAGATAGTTAGAAACATTGATGGGAGAGAAACATCGATCAGCTGCCTCCTGCACACTCCCTACTGGGGATGTGCCCACAACCCAGGGACATGCCCTTGACCGGAATCGAACCTGGGACCTTTCAGTCCGCAGGCCGACGCTCTATCCACTGAGCCAAACCCATTAGGGCCGTTTCATCATTTTTAATTTGAGTGTGAATGTTCAGCAGATGAAGTGACTCGGCTGAGCCCAGCCCCCATCGACCTGCTGTCTTACACCAAGCTCTGCTCACACTCAGGCTGCTGGTGTGGCCCCGGGCATTTCTCAGCAAACCCAGGGCCGCCAGTTCCTGCAGGGAGGGAGCCCGAAGCTGGCTGGGCTCAAGGCCCAGGGCGCTGCCCGCTGCTCCTGCTGGCCAGGAGCCCTGTGCCTCCACTGTGTCCAGCCGCTGCTCCTCGTGCCCCGCTGCAGGCGCTGGCACCTTCCTCTGTGAAGGGGCGGCCACCCGGAATTTGGTTTTAGGACGGATGCCTCCTCGGCTCAGGGGCCGCAGCCACAATCCCTGTTGAGGCTGATGGCCCGGAGCTCTGTCTGGCCCACACGCTGAGCCCTCCGCCCGCCCCACGCAGGCTGGAACATCCCTTACGAGTTCAACGAGTCGGACCTGAGGATCAGCGTGCGACAGGTCCAGATGTTCCTGAACGACTACAAGGACGTGCCTTTCGATGCTCTGACCTACCTGACAGGTATTTCTGCGCGCAGGGGGCTCCGCCGCCATCCCCAGCCGGACTAGCTCAGGCTTCCCCTCCGCAGACGGAGCCACACCAACGCTGTCACCAGGCCAGATATTGTCTTAAAAAAGAAAGAAATTAAGATATTAATTCCTACCCTCAAATGGTCCACAGGGAGAAAAATATTTTTTAATGACAATACGGTGATAAGTTCAACGAGAGAAACACGTGTAAAGTAGGAAGGCAGCCCAGTGAGTAGCCTCAGGCTGGGGCAGGAGATGATCATGGGAAACCTCCTGAAGGCACAAAGATGGGTTTTGAGGGATGACTAGGAGTTTTATAAGTGGAAGAAGAAGGGGTAGAGCCATGGGATGGGGATGCGGAGAGAGGTTCCCCGCAGAGGGACCTGAGGTGGAAACCTGCAGTTGTGGGAAAGCAATCCAGTCAGCATGGCCGATCCAGCAGCCTGGTCAGTCGCCTGCTGTCTGTGATGGAGGATGGAGGTGTAGGAGACTTGGCTTTATCCTCAAGGGTAAAACAGGATGTGCTCAGTGAATGGAACGCGGTGGCCAGGGGTCACAGTGCAGCTCCGTGAGAGACGGGGCACCCTGCAGACCACACTCCAGTCTCTTCATCCCAGAGCTAAGGGCTGTGTGGCTCCTCTCCCCGGGCCTGGGGCAGGGACTCTGTAGACACTGTCAGTGTGCTAATGCCCAAGCCTGCAGAGCAGTCTTTTCTAGTCCTCACTGGAGGAGGTGTTTTTATTGACTTTTAGAGGGAGATGGGGGCAGGCAGAGGGAGAGGGGAAAGGAGAGGGAGAGGGGATGGGGAGAGGAAGGGAGAGGAAGAGAGAGGGAGAGGGAGAAGGGGAGGGAGGAGGGAGAGGAAAAAGGAGAAGGGGAGGGGAGAGGAGAGAGAGACAGAGGGAGAGGGGGGAAAGGGAGAGAGGGAGGGACAGGGGAAGGGGAGGGAGAGGGGGAAAGAGCGACACACGTAACTGGCTGTCTCCCTTGTGCACCCCCGCCAGGGGTTAGTGCTCTCATGAGAAATGGAACCCACGCCGTTTTGGTGTACGGACAACGCCCCAACCAACTGAGCCACCAGCCTGGGCTGTAGAGTTTTTGTAAGAATTTATTTGAGCCAAACAGAGGGCACGCCTGGGAGCAAAACCTGGACAGACTGAGAAAATGCTCCCAGCATCATGGTTTGGGACTGTGATTGTGCTCATGGAATTTGGAGGCTGCGTGGAGGGGGAGGGAGCAAGGCGGTCAGTGACAGGACAGTCAGGCTCCGCTGTCCTGAGAGGGTGCACTTGAGTAGGCATTTCCAAGGCGTTGCCCTGGGCGGGGCCTGCTTAGGACAAAGGTCAGCAGTCAGGGGCCTGGGAGTGACACCCACCATGGCCTGCCCAGCTGGGATTTGTGAGCCCATCTCCTGTGTTGTGGCTTTCCACGGAGCCCCTCTGCCCACAGCAGAGCAGTGCACTGGGTCTCCTGGCAATCTGTGCACCGTCAGTGACCCATTTCACAGCTGATTAGACTGAGGCTTGAGAGCAGAGGGGATTTTGACCCCCGGGGGCCTGTGGCAATGTCTGCAGACACTGGGTTGTCACAGCTCAGTGGGAGTGCACCAGGGGGGGCCAGGCTGTGCTAGACATCCCAGGACGCACAGGGCGGCCCCCAGAGCAGGACTCCCCAGCCCACATGCTAATGGTGCCGAGGCCGAGAAGTCCTGCTCTCCGTGATAAAGTTCAGTTGCAGAAGGTCACACAGACCTTCACTCAGCACAGTGTCCGACACAAAACCCAAGGGACGCACGGCGTCAGGCCCGTGGAAGCTGGTTTGTGGGAGGGTCTTCTCCAGAAGCACGGGCGCCTCTGCAGACGGCAGGACCAGGACGGACTGAGAGCCCAGCTGCCCTGCGGCTCAGTCAGCACTGCCACTCCCCCCGCCCACAGGCCTGTAGACTAGTTAGGCTGACATAACACACAGTCCCCACATCTCAAGGGTGTCTGGCATCAATGGCCCGTTTCTCGCCCCATCTACATGTCCAGCGTGAACTGGAAAAGTGACTGCTCGCTGTAATTATGTCAGGGCACAGTTGGCAAAGGCTCCACCAACTTACTTAAACAATATGTTTGTACTGGTTTTAGAGAGAGGGGTTAGGGAGAGAGAGAGAAACATCAGTGAGAGAGAAACAACTGCCTCCTGAGCCAAACAGACCAGCCGCCTCCTGCACGCCCCCTACTGGAGATTGAGCCCGAAACACTGGCATGTGCCCTAACTGGGAATCGAACCAGTGACTACTTGGTGCATGGATCGGTACTGAGCCACCCGGGCCGGGCTCCACCAACTTTTGATGCCACCATCTCAACATACAATTGTGTGGTCAGTGCCACAGGCTAGCGCTAAAGAGCTGGTCCCAGGAATTAAATGCATAGGAACGGCGCCTGCCCCACCCGCCTGCACGGCCCAGGATAGTGTAACCTTCCCATGTGCCTGGAGGGAAGGACAGATGCGGATGATCCTGAGGCCTTGGGAGAGGCATGCAGTCATCTTCCAGAGCCCCAGCCCCGCCTGCCGCAGGAGCCGTGAGGCCTGAGGCGGGAGATGCGGCCCAACCTGGTCCCGGAGCCTGCACTCCTGCATCAGAGAGCGGAGCAGTGGCCGGAAGGAAGCCACTGTCCCTCATGCACGCAAGACTAGAGCCTCAGGACCAGCCCCTGAAAAAAGCTAGTTGCAGGGGGGTGGCCACAGGACTCCGCAGGTCTCTGCAGGAGACGCCCTTCACTTGGTGCCCTGGGGCAAACTGCGCTCCCTTTAGTACTGCAGCCAGGAGCTGTCACAAACCTCTTCACAGCATACCAGCCGCTAATGTCCAGTCTACACTGTGCTGAGACCTGAGACATCAACAGAGCAAGCTGCAGTGTCTCCAGGTGCATCGCCATGGGAGCGCCCCTTAGTCCCTCCTCCTCTCTCGACACGCACCAGGATCCTCCTCCAACTCTGGGCCAAGAAAAACTGAGGGCTCTGCTCCCAACTTGGGTCGTACTTCCTATTTCTTATCTGTAGACCTTCCTCTTTCTGGGATGGTTCAGATTGGAAATGAGCCGACCCTGCTGGAGAGTCCTGCGCGCGCGCGCGCACACACACACACACACACACACACACACACACACACGTCTCCTCCTCGCAGGCTAGTGTGTTGTCCACAACTTCCAAATGCCACATCCATGTGGTGCCACATCCCGTGGGTCTGGACCAGCTGGAAGCTGTGTCCGGGGTTGGCAAGGGGCCCTGGATGTTCTTGTAGAAATCTGAGCACAGACACCTGAGTCTCAGAGGATGATGTTATGACGGGGGTGAGGACGTCATCTCCCAAAGCAGCTGCAAAAGGATAGGCTCAGCCCCCGGGACTGTGTGTGACAGCTGTGACCACGTAAAGGACTCCTGTGCCGCGCTTGCTGCTCAGTGCTCCCAGCGCCATTCACCCAGCCTGTGCCATGGGCTCAGTGATGTCAGCGAGGAGGCTGCTCTTAAGTGACAGAGGCTGGAACCCAGATCAGCTGGAACGGGAACCCAGGACTGCCTCATGCCAAAGCTCTTGACTGGAACCACATTGCTATAATGTCTGCCACACGTATGTATGCCGGGAGCCAGTCCATCCTTGCTGTTTCAAGGGACCTGGCGTATATGGCATACTGTTCTTAATATGTTTGCTCACCTTCTTGGTGCTGTGTTTTAACCAAGGTCACCTCTCCGAGAAAGGTTGTTTCCCCAGGTAGGGATTTTCCCCTGAAGTTAGGGAGGGAATAAAACCTCTTAACCCCTTCCCCAGCAGAAATCCTGGTCAGAACCTGGCTACAGAACTTGGTTGGAGAACCTAGACAGAACCTGGCTTAAGAACCCGGCTACAGAACCTGGCGCCCGAGCCTGGCTGGAGAACCTAAACCGAACCTGGCTGGAGAACCTCGCGAGAGAATATGGCTACAGAACCTGGCTGGAGAACTTGGAGAACCTGGCTGGAGAACCTAGCAAGGGAACATGGCTACAGAACTTGGCTGGAGATTGTGGCTAGAGATCCTGGCAAGGCTGCTGATCAACTGAACGCTGTCTCCATGTCATTCCTTCTTCGCCGACTCCGTCCACACCTTTGCGGACCCCGGGACCTGCTGGGGTTGGACCCCAGCATATGTACACACAAACACACGCATGCACACACACACGTGGAAGGTGCCTAAATGCTGCTCGTTGGTGGTTGCAGCGCTAGGCTTTTGGTTTAGCTGTTTGCCATCTGCTAGTAACGTGGTGGCCTGGGTTCTTTTTAGAGCAGCCACAACAGCAAACAGGTTTGCTCTCATCCCAAGCTGAGCGCAGCTCCAGCAGCCCTGGTCTCCGCAGGCTCCTGGGCTCAAAGAATCCTCTGCTTTAGGCTAGTAACCGAGCTCAGGGCGCCCGTCCTGGGGCTCAGTCTCCCCCTCTGCGGTTGTCTCCAGGGGAGTGCAACTATGGAGGCAGAGTGACCGATGACAAAGACAGGCGTCTCCTGCTGTCCCTGCTGTCCACCTTCTACTGCAAGGACATCGAGCAGGACCACTACTACGTCGCCCCCGGAGACATTTACTACATCCCCCCCCACGGCTCCTACCAGGTGAGGCGTGGAGGGAGGCCAGCAAGGGCCCAGGGGCCGCCTTGAGCCTCCTGATTTGGGTCCCTAAGCTATTTCCAATATTCCAAGAGCCCAGGAGGGAGAGAGTGATTGATCATGAACACTGAGTCTTCGGTAGACCAGGTCTCTCAGATAGGAGGGTTTCCTGGGGGAAGAGGGGTGTTAAGGGGAAGCTTGGCGGCGAACAGCCTGGAAGTTGCTACTTGGAAAGAGAGGTTCAGCACGTGGTGAAAGGGAGGGGCCAAAACTGGACCGAAGGAGCGAGGGAAACCAGACGTCCGGAGGGAGGACGGAAAGGGGCATCTCTCACTGCGCCCCGCTGCGCCCCCAGGCATGTCCTTCGACGAGGGAGTGAGGCTCCGGGACCCCCACGGAGCCTGACAGAACAGGGCGGATCCAAGCCCCGTTCTGTCAGGCTCCAAAGCCCGGGCACAGGGACGAGCTTGGGGTGTGTCCCCGCACAGGTGTCTGCCCGGGCTGGTCTGACCCAGCCCTAGTGACCTGTGGGGCCCCAGGAACCCACATGTGTGTCACCTGGAGCTTTTCTTCCCAGTCCTACATCGAGTACCTCAGGAACCTTCCCATCACAGCCCACCCAGGGGTGTTCGGCCTCCATGAGAACGCTGACATCACCAAGGACAACCAGGAGACCAACCAGCTGTTTCAGGGGGTGCTGCTGACGCTCCCCAGACAGGCGGGCGCGAGCGGCAAGTCTCCTCAGGTAACCAGGCTTGAGTTCAATTTCCCAGGTGGGTTTCCATCTGGGGCACAGGACTGTGAGAGATGAGCAAGGAGGCAGAAACATGGAGGCCTGGTAGCCCTGGCAAGGGACACAGCCTGGCAGGTGGCACAGCCTGGCAGTGGGGTACAGCCTGGCAGTGGGGTACAACCTGGCAGGGGGCACAGCCTGGCAGTGGGCACAGCCTGGCAGTGGACACAGCCTGGCAGTGGGGTACAACCTGGCAGGGGGCACAGCCTGGCAGTGGGCACAGCCTGGCAGTGGACACAGCCTGGCAGTGGGGTACAACCTGGCAGACGGCACAGCCTAGCAGTGGGGTACAGCCTGGCAGTGGGGTACAGCCTGGCAGGGGGCACAGCCTGGCAGTGGGGTACAGCCTGGCAGGGATCACAGTGTGTCCAACGTCAGCTATGAAATTGTAGGAGTCATTGCTAGACCCCCATAGACCTATACTCCCTTTACATAATATTTAAAATCCAACTCTATGTGCCTGAAAAGCATTTATTTGAAAACCTCACCCCCGCCATGAATGGCACCCACTCCTTTTGGGAAAGTCCTGGCGGCCCGCAGACAGCACACGAAGCTATGCAGACGCCGCTTCTTTCCAGACACGCTGGAAAGGCTGTGCCACTGCTAGGCTGTGCCGCCGCTGCGTGCCCAGCAGCACCTGCGACTCACCTGGAGGGCGTGAGAGGAGGTGGTGACCCAAAGGAGGGCGACTGTCTCACATGGGCTCCAACTGGAAGCACCTGGGCCCATCCTGGGGGCCTCTTGTGGTCAGATCGCCATCCTCAATCTACAGACGGGCAACGCGAACCTGGGCCAGGGAGAGACCCAGCTGAGGCGCCCATAGACTCAGAGGCAGAGCCAGAGCCAGGCCACCAGCCCCTGGCGCTCGCCTCCCTCTCTCCCGCATGCCCCTCCCCTCGCCAGCCGAGCTCAATGGTGGATTCTGCGTGTTTGGTTCCTTGACTGGTTCATCCTGGGAGAAGTGGGAATCGCTGAGGGTCACAGCCTGGTTGCAGCATCTCCATTTCGGAGTGGGAATTCTGGGCACAGTGGGAAGGGGAGGAGTGTGCTCCCAGCCTTAGCCCTGCTCCTCCTCACTCCTGGCTCCTCGGGCCTCACCCTCCCTGGTTGGCAAGGCCCACTGCTCTGGCTGCTCTTGTTCCCGCTGAGGCCTGGCTGCTGCCTTCCCCGGAGTCTCTGTCACTGGCCCTACTCGAGGCCCGTTCCTATCAGGAGGGGGTCCTGGACGCCCCGGGGGAGAGCTGTGGGAGCCTCACCCAGGGCACGCGCAGCGGGGTTCTCAGGGTCAGGGCTGCCCAGGCTTCCCGCTCTCTGGCTCCCTCCAGGAATGAGAATAGGGCGCTCTTTGCTCAGCTCTTTACTTTCTGGGCCAAGGGTGATGTCTTCCCCAAAGTTGGTGTGGGGGTCCTTCCCCAGCCACCCCAACACCTTCCGCCTGGAGGAACATCACAGGAGGTCCAACAGATGTGTTTACAAAGAACAAGGTCGACGCTTCAGGTTTACCAGACAAGTCCCGGCCACAGGCCTGCTTCTTATTCCCTCTCCTCTGTCCTTGAAGGAAGTGATTGAGGAGCTCACCCAGGACATACTCTGCAAACTCCCCAAGGACTTTAACTTGGAAGTCGTCATGAAGCTGTACCCTGTGGTCTATGAGGAGTCCATGAACACCGTCCTGAGGCAGGAGCTCATCAGGTTCAACAGGTGGGCCGGGCGGGCTCATTTGGGTCCCAGGGGTGGCGCGGGACAGCGGGGGGGTCACATTGGCAGCAGTGGAGGTGGACACTTGTTAAGGGGCTGCAGAGGCAGTGGCTCGTCCCACCATAGTGAGGGCTGGAGAGAGGACCACACCAACAAGTACTGCCCAGGATTAACTCATTCCTCCATTCATTCCCCCTCTCTCATTCACTCATTCACTCACTCACTTATTCATTTGATATCTGCAAAGTCAGGTGTCAGGTTAAAACCAATACCAAGCACAAGTAGAAGCAATCATTGCAGCCACTTTCATTGCGCCCTTGGTGCCAGGTATGGCTCCGAGCACCACACATACGTTTGCAACCACCTCAGAGCAGTCGTTTGAAATATGCAGTTAGTAGTCCCTCTACCACCGTTTTATAGGTGGGAAAACTGAGACCCAGACGGGTTAAGTAACAGTGCAAGGTCACACAGCCACTCAGTGGAAGAGCTGAATTCGAACCCAGGCTGTCTGATTCCAGAGCCTGTGCACTTAGCCATTCAGGGTAAATGGAGCAAGGGGAGGGGAGACGTTCGTCCCACAGGCTCTCCCGAGAGGCAGGGAAGGGGTGGTGGACTGGCACGGGCTCTCTCCTCACTTCTCCGGGTGCTATCTAAGCACTGAGCTCCGGGATTATCTTGATTGATTTATAGTCAAAACTGAAAGGTTCCCAAAGACCGTCCAGGCCAGATGAGGAGACGCCCTGCTGCTGCCTCCAAGGTTTTAGTGCTGCAGACGCCAGGTGCTGCTGCCTCCGTTTGCCTCATTGGTCCTTGCTCAGCTTTCGCGCAGCTCTGACTGAAGGACGAGGGAACTGGAAGGATGTCATCTAAGAATTTCTTGGTTCCAGCAGCCTAAGGGTTCCTCTCTGGAGTCAATAAGCAGTTGGCTATTTGGGGAGCCCGGCGAAGTCTGGGGTGCGAGCCAGGCTGTGGCACGGCTGTGGTGAGTCAGGTAACTTGGCACCAGGGGCTGCAGTCCTCATACGTTCAAACGCCAGACCTGGTGGCTTCCGTCCCCTGTGAGGCCACGGGCTCATCCTTGGCGTGGCAGGGTTTTACAGCCTTTGCCACGCGCTGTGGTCAGAGAAGCCAACAAGGTAACAGTAGCCTTATTTTCCAATGATGGTCAGGACGGTCACACAGGACAATACTCGAGCCTCCCTCCTCACTGCCGTTGGGCCTTCACCCAGTGGCCCGAGAAGCCCCGAAGGACTCGGTGACAGTCCAGCTTCCAATTCAGAGAAGCCAGTGTGTCTTCTGGCAAATGTCCTCTCCGTGGCACTGGGACCTCGGAGCTGGCAGAGCCCCCACTTGCAGGAACAGAAGGAAGACCTTTGCAAGCAGGTGGCCAGGTGTCACGGCTCAGGCCTGTGGGACGGTGACCTGACTCCTCAGCTCAGCCAGTGCGCGGAATACCTGACCCTTCCGTTTCCTTAATGCAAACATCTCGTGGTTACCCCGCCACAATCCCTTTCTTGCACTGGGCCATTCTCGTGTCCATTTGGCTGGGATTTCATAACTCTTTAGAGATGACTGCTCTCTCTGGGGCAGGCTCTTTGGCACTAAGGTGCATTCCCTTGGACGTGGCGAGGCCCTTGTCACAAGGCCAGAGAGAGACAGGCGCAGGCAGCATCTCCCAGACTGCCCTTCAGTTGCCTTTTCTTAGGTGCGCTTCATAGTCTATTAAAAAGAACAGCTTGGGTCGAGATGGCAATTTAGATAAAAACCCTTAAAATTACATTACCTTTTGACCTAAAATTTTTACTTTTAGTGAGCAAATCATTATTTATTTGCACAGAAATTGATGTAGATGGATATTCCTAGCAATGTTGTTTGCAGGGACAACAATGTAGAAATAATAAGTTTCAGCAATTGGGGAATAGTTAAATAAAATGGAATACCTTACAGTCATTACAAAGGATAAATACCATGAATTGGGAAAAAGATCCCTATATGCTAAGAGAGAAAAACAGATTACAAAAAAGTAATCTAGTACAATTACTTTTTTTTTTATTGATTAAGATATTACATATGTGTCCCTGTCCCCACATCACCTCCACCCCCCACCCCCACCCCCCCGTTGTCCGTGTCCATTGGTTAGGCCTCTATGCCTGCATGTAAGTCCTTTGGTTGCTCTTTCCCCTTTACCCTCCCCTCCCCCACCCTC